GAGAGAGAGAGAGAGAGAGAGAGAGAGAGAGAGAGAGAGAGAGAGAGAGAGAGATTGCAGCAGGGGTGCAGATCTGTGTAGTTGTGAACTATATAGAGTATGATACATCAAAAATCCTTAAAAACAAGAGAGAGAGAGAGAGAGAGAGAGAGAGAGAGAGAGAGAGACCCTGACTTCTGAGATAAGTATGTAGTATATACTGTATTCCCTTTATGCCCTTCAACTCCAAGGGTAGGGCTAGAATTGTTCTCACCTCCTCCTCCTCCTCCACACTTATCCTCCTTTTTTGGATGACGATTCCTCCCTTCTCCTAATTTTCCTCTCCCTTCTCTGTCCAACTCCTCAAAAAAGAAAAAAGGTCTTGAAGGAGGGATCAAGTAAAAAAAAAAAAAAGGAAGGCAACGCAACGCTGCGCGAGGCCAAGTGGCCTAGTTCAGTTGGTTGAGCATGTAAGTGGTACACAGGAGGTCGTGGGTTCGATTCCCCACGGCATCCATTCGACTCCCCATGAACCCCCCTGTGTCGCATACTTCGGGTTCACCAACTGAGAAAGTCGGCTTGTCCGTCCTGTCCAGTTGTGGAAATTGTCTTTCTTTCTTTCCAGCCTGCGCCAGGTGTTAGGAGCTTGGGTGCTGCTCCCCGCACAGAGAAGAGTTGGGTAGGCTTAGACCCATAACCTTAGCATAGCTTAGGCATAAGGTTGGTCCGTTCCATGTAGAGTAGCTGTTCTTCCTGAATAAATGTGATCCACTATCTGCTTTGTAGGGCTTGTAGGTAAAGTATGGATACAGGTATGTGAGGCAAGGGAGAAGAAGATAGGGTAGGTGAAAAACACAACTGTCCCCCATATGAGGAGAAGACAGTGGCAGTCTGATATTCTCCCTGCAGTTTTCTGAGTACTGCTGCCTGTTGGTCCGATTTGCTGAATATTTCCAAATTCGAGGGGCAATGCGGCGAATGCGCACAGTAGCATTTTCCTACATGCATCTGACTGCAATTACGTCCAGGGCGGAGTCCAGAAAGTTCTAGTGTGAATATGTCCTGAGTGCGTTTTGCTCTATTGCCCGTGTGCCCGAGACTCCATGTAATGTTCACGATATTGCCCGCGAACTAACGCTGTTCTCGCGCCGAGTTTTTCTGCACCCCAGGAGGGGTAGAGTAGTAAAACGAGATGACGGTAGTGGTAAGATTGGAATTGGAAGCCAGACGGACTTCGAAGAAAATCTAAGCCAGACAAGGACAAAAGTTGAATTTGGCAGGGACCCAGTAAGATTCTCCAGCAACCCGGCTAGGCCTAGGAAAGTCTGCTAGGCTTTGAAAGCTCCTGACAGTCCGAAGCCCGAATGTAGATAGATATCAGGTTAGGTACAGGCATGCAAGTTGCATTGCAGCCTGCAGGGACTTCCGATCGGCCCTGTTGCACCGGTAGAGGTTGTGAGTGGCCGGCAGATAGAAAGAGGTAACTCAGTCGGTAGAGCATGTAGGTGGCATTCAGGAGGGTGTGGGTTCGATTCCCCGCCGCATCCATTTGACTCACCGAGGGCCCCTGTAGCACACTTCGGGCTCACCAGCGGTAAGGTTACCCGTGGCCTTCCATCCCGCGCCAGGGGCTAGGGGCCGGGGTACTGCTCCCTGCACGGAGCAGAGTTGAGGATCAACCCAAAAAAAAAGGGGACGGACCCAACTTAGGCAAAAAAAAAGCGAAACTGAACTAAGAGGTAGGTAGATAGGTTGGGGTAGTGGGTGATATAAWGAMAARAAMAWAGGGTAGTTAAAAAAAAAAAAAAAAAAAAAAAAAAAAAAAAACCAGAGAGAGGTACAGGAGGCTGAGAGTCGTGAGTATATTATTCGATGGAATGGGTGGCCTGTGGATTCACCTGGTGTTTTGCCCTGAGGGAGAGTTACACCACCAATACACCTGGGCCTGGAGATGCTGCGCAGCGCACCAAGCTTTTCCAAACTGCCATTGGCGCCTTTTTTAGCCTTTTTTTGCTGGCGCTTCCCATCGTTGTGGTCCGGTAGGGCCCAGCTGCAAAATTTTCGAGTAGGCGACAAACAAATTTTCTACAGGGCTGGGGCTCTGTGTACTGGCGGTTTACGCGGAGCTGTGGGTCGAAGGAGGAGGAGCTAGGGTGAGGGGCACTGAGGAGGAAGAGCTCCATGGATATGGAGGAGTTGTAGTAGAAGGGAGAAGGCCTAGGCTATGGAGGTAGAGCGAGAAGAACCTCAAGCTACCGTCTTCCCCCAAATAGAACTTAACAGTCACTATTGCTGTATCTAGACTGAAAGTTGCCCTAAATACAGCTACAACAACTCTACGTGATGTCTGGGCAAGATGGTAGGCTATGAAGGTAGGTGGAGGAAGACAGCAGAGGTTGGGCGAGACGACGAAAGAGGAAACCAACCAGACCGACCGACTTCTGCGCTCCGGGTTCAAGGTTTCTTCTGGTGGTGTTGTCTCTTCTCCCTACCTCCTTGTCGTGATTTGCAACTTGCATGGAATGATTGTCGCTGGTTATACGCTAACTTACCCCTCCTCCTCCTTGCTTACTAACTCCTCCTCCTCCTCCTCCTCCTCCTCCTCCTTGCTTGGCACTGCATCTGGAAAGCCCCTGTTGAGATAACAGTTTGACATGAACTTCATACAGAGAGCGTGGCTATGGCAGAATGAATAGGGAGAGGAACAGTAGTAGTTGCCTTGTCCATTGAATATCTGTGTTGAACGTGGACGGACCATCTCCATAGATCAGGGTATGCAAAAGCTTGAGCAGAGGAGTGAGAGTGAGACCGAGAGAAGAGCTCTTTTTTTGAATGCTGGCAGTTATGGGGATTACTTGGGCCAGGCATCATAGTTGCGGCGCATCAAGTTGAGCACAGCGCACGTGCGCACACCTGATGCGGCGCATTTAAAAAAAAAAAAAAAAAAAAAAAAAATCAGAAACAGTAGGTCGTACGGACGAGACCAAATGGCCGTAGCAATGGAGAAACAATTGATTCAAGAGAAATGCTGGAGAAAGGTTACAACGAAAAGAAGGTCGCATATCGCTCAAGGGGAACAGTCAAGGGCCCAGAAATGTAGCCGCACAACCCAGCCTAGGAGGGGATTCGCAGAGCCACAAAGATGTTGGCAATGGTTACCAGAAGTGCAACGCGCCGTCTCTCTCTCTCTCTCTCTCTCTCTCTCTCTCTCTCTCTCTCTCTCTCTCTCTGGCCGTGCAACGCGCCGTCTCTCTCTCTCTCTCTCTCTCTCTCTCTCTCTCTCTCTCTCTCTCTCTCACGGGGGCCAAGTCCCACTAGCAGCGTTGAGCTACCTCAACGCCTGAATCTGGACGTTTTTGCCGTGATGTGCAGAAATGGTGTTGAGTTTCCTGAACTGCACGTCTCCACAAACACGTCCAGATTCAGGCGTTGAGGTAGCTCAACGCTGCTAGTGGG